TTAAAGTTTTCTTTTCAATAATGTCTGTCATCTGAAAGTTTAGTAAAAAAGAATAAGACATTGTAAGAAAACAAGTTCCTGAACGAATTGGCGGTAGAATTACTATGCTAATTGGCATTTTGGACCAATATTTAGAAATTTCTGGAAACCTAGCTTGAGCTATGGAAAATCTGAATACACTATTCGATAGAGCTCATCAAGTTGTACAGGGAACTCAATTGGAACACTTGGAGCATGTTCCTGAACGAATCGGCAGCGGAATTACTTGCCGGTTTGGTATTTGGGACCACTATTTCGGCATTTTTCGAAACATACTTAGAGCTATGGAAAATCCGATTATACTATTGGATAGAGCTCATCAAGTTGTACTTGGAACTCAATTGGAACACTTCTAACATGTTCCTGAACGAATCGGCGGTAGAATTACTTGCCGGTTTGACATTTTGGACCAGTATTCAGGGATTTCTGGAAACTCAGTTTGAGCTATGGAATGTCTGAATACACCATTCGATAGAGCACATTGAGTTGTACTTGGAACCCGATTGGAGCACTTCTAACATGTTCCTGGGCGAATCGGCGGTAGAATTACTTGCCGGTTTGACATTTTGGACCAGTATTCACGGATTTCTGGACACTCAGTTTGAGCTATGGAATGTCTGAATACACCATTCGATAGAGCTCATCGAGTTGTACTTGGAACCCGATTGGAGCACTTCTAACATGTTTCTGGGCGAATCGGCGGTAGAATTACTATGCTGATGGGCCATTTCTCATACTTTTGGACCAGTATTTTGAGGTTTGCGAACACATAGTTTGAGCTACGTAAAATCCGAATACACCATTTGATAGAGCTCATCGAGTTGTACTTGGAACACAAATGGAGCACTTGGAGCGTGTTCCTGAGCGAATCGGCGGGAGATTTACTCGAATCGGACGCTAACTTCACCTACGTAATTTAAGCTTATTTTTTTCTTAATACTACAGAATAGTATCCTGAGAAAAATTTCAATATCTCAAGAACGGAAGAACAATTTTTTTTCAAACGGCTCGCATCAAAATTCTAGAAACCCCCACTCCTACAACCAGGCCCCGCGAAAGTGGGGGGGTGTAGGGGGGTGTACACCCCCCCAATAATTAATAATTAATCATTCGTAGCCAACAAAATCGATAAATCTTTTGGAAACTTTTTCCTAGAAAATTCTGAAGGGATGTTTAAATTTTTCGCTTCGCGAAAACATGACGACGGGAGCGTATTCAACCTAGAAATATCTGTGATTTTTCTGTTTTTAACGCAATTTTACTTCTCTCTTTCTTTTGAAGAGCTTCATTTTCCAACAATCGTCACTAGCGTGGCCGCCTTCGGCGGCGAAATCTATAAGAGTTATCACAACACTTTTTGCTTTCGAACAACATAAGGGAAAAAGAGTTTTTCGTGAGTCTGAAAAATGTTTTCGCTTCGCGAAAAATAACAATTGTGTAACGCAGTTAACTTAGACAAACTTCCTATTGTCCGATCCAAAATAAAAGGCAAGTTACCATTTTTCGAATGACTTTTGATAGGAACGAGATAGAGAGCTGCGGTTTTCACAATTCGAAAGAGGGATGTCTGGGCCATCGATCGGTATAGAACTCATTAAGACGGAAGATGCTTTTTTTTTATAGATACCTTTGGATCAACACTTTTTCTTTTGAGTATTTTCATCAATTTTCACGATAATCTCAACTCAAATTATGTCAAATTGTAGCTCAAATCACCCTTTTTTTCGCTATAAAATTATCACATATTTCATTATCTCTCAATCGCTTATTCTAAGCGGATTTAAAAAAAACAAATGTTAATTTTATAGCGAAAAAAAGGGTGATTTGAGCTACATTTTGACATAATTTGAGTTGAGATTATTCGAAAAATTGATGAAAATACTCAAAGGAAAAGTGTTGATCCAAAGGTACCCATAAAAAAAAACATCCTTCGTCTTAATGAGTTCTATACCGATCAATGGCTCGGACATCGCTCTTTCGAATGGTGAAAATCGCAGCTCTCTATCTCGTTCCTATCAAAAGTTATTCAAAAAATGGTAACTTGCCTTTTACTTTGGATCGGATAATACTTTAGTCAACTTTTCCTTTGAAACAGCTTGATATAGAGCAACTTGTGCCAAAGTGGTCGCCTTCGATAACGACAGTATCGAGGAATTTTCTCATATTGGACTCGAGTTCTCTTCTTGAAAATTTGCGAGAAAAAATCAAATTTTTTAAGGAGGTTGCAAAAAGTTGTCGCTTCGCGAAAAATTATTACATTTTAGGTCCGCAGAAAAAGATTAACATCAGATCTGATGCGAAAAAAAATTTTGCTTCCCTCAATCTTGACTGCCTTGAAATCTCGTCACACCCCCCCAATCTTGGGACCCTCGCGCGGGGCCTGCCTACAACACATATTAAATTGAGCAAAATCGAATGACCTTGATCGAGCAAGTTAGATGGTACCTTATATGAACTGGCTCATATAGAAAAATAGAACAAATTCCATCAAATAAAAAAGTCCATGAACCTATTAACAGGTTTGTTTGGCTATTTCCTTTATCTTTTAAAAATAAATTGGAATAAAATAGACAAATGCTCATCAACAATGAGTACAATGGTTGACGAACTTCACATCCTTCATTATCAATAAGCCTAAGTCGAGGTCGTTTCTTATCAAACAAGTAAAAGTAGTATGTGCTGAAATTATTCAACAACAAGTATCAATAGTACAAATAATTCAATTTCTCATGATAAAAACCATATTACATTTGTTTTTTCATCTTTTATCATATTATACAATAAAAAAAATTATTAGAAATTTTTTCTAGAAGTCAGATCATGTTCACAAGGGATTCCGGAACTTCGCCAATTTTGACTTTCGCCAATAATTGACGAAATTCCACGGAATGTATTGGCGAAAGTTCAATGGATCTTCGCCAATTGGCGACTGTCCAACAGATATATTGGTGAACGTCTACTGAACT